ATGTACCACTTGTTGTCGTAGTCCAAGCAGGCTAGAGGACCCCCGCTGTCCCCCTGTGGTTTAGTTTGGTGGGTGTTTCTGTATATTTGTATCTATTTGATCATAATTCGTCTGAGTTGTGTGTATTTATTTGTATTTGTATCAATTTGTGTATAGTTGTGGGTATTTATGTATAATGTGTATTGTTGTGGGTATTTATGTATAATGTTGTTGTTAAATAAGTAACTGGTTGACCGTTACAAGAACAATTCTTTTTGGTTTCCAGATAATTTCGTTTTGTTGATTCTGCTTTCTTTGATTTGATTTGATGAAATGAAATATTAAATGTTAAATTTCTAGATTTTAATAGAGTATTCGTTTTCATTTGTGTATAATGTGTGTATTTGTGGAGTATTTAGCTTTATGTAGAGATTATTTAATGAATATTTAGTTGAAAGAAATATTTTTAAAATGTAAAATTACATTTTACATTAATTTAGAGAAAATTTAATGAATATTTAGTTAAAAAAAATATTTTTAAAATGTAAAATTATTTTTTGCTAAGTGTAGTAAAAATATTTATGATTATTTTTTTTCTCGCCTGTAACAGGCAATGCTAACAGAAAATTATTCACATTTTTGTCTGAAAACTCTTGTTAGTCAAGTAAGATTTAGTTCTGTTTTAAATCTAGTTAAAAACGCTTTGTTGTTTCGACACCTACCTTGGTGCCAAAATCATTTCTGAGTGAAAAAGCCAGTATGTGGCATGTGTCTACTGTCTGGTAGATAATAAAATAAGTGTGTGTTCATGTGTTTGTGTCATAGACTCCTATATAGATATTGGATTGAATTGAATTGGATTGAATTGGATTGAGTTGAATTGGATTGAATTGACTTGAATTGGATTGAATTGGATTGAATTGACTTGAATTGGATTGAATTGGATTGAATTGACTTGAATTGGATTGAATTGGATTGAATTGGATTGAATTGGATTGAATTGGATTGAATTGGATTGAATTGGATTGAATTGGATTGAATTAAATGGAATTGTCACAATCTTTTATTCAGCAAAATATCACATCAATGAATTACTAGAAGACCAGAAGTTTTCACTTGTTAGGTATAGTATATTAAATTATTATAGTATATTATATTATTATAGTATATTATATTATTATATAGTATATTATATTATTATATAGTATATTATATAGGTTTGCATGGTCTGTGTGTCGGTAGGTGCTGCTTGTTTGAGTGGAAGACGCGCTTGGGCAAGTTAGTTTGCCGCGAGTTTGCTTTAATTACATACACGGACTTGCATGTGTCGGACTGATTGAGAAAACTTGGAGTTGAATGGCGGATGACGTGATGGATGGGAATTCGCTTTCCCAGGCGTGAAATTGTTAATAATGGCAAATGTTTTCGCAATTTTTCAAAACGGCCGTTTTACTCAGGTGTGTGTGTGTTTTAACTTGTGCCTTTGTGTGTGTGTGTGTGTGTGTGTGTGTGTGTGTGTGTGTGTGTGTGTGTGTGTGTGTGTGTGTGTGTGTGTGTGTGTGTGTGTGTGTGATTGGAGTATCAGACGACGACTCTGGAAAAGTTGAAATTACATCAAACTCACATTCCCCACATTGATGCTCTCGACCGAGGGACTTGAACCCCCACAAAACTTGATGTCCCTCATGAGTAGGGGGTACTCGGACTGTCCCGTCAGGTTGAAGATGTTCTGCATGCACACCTTATACTCCATGATGTTCATGCGGCCTTGAAGGAGCATCAGGGAGTAAAGGTCACCTGAATTTCAATGTTCAAAGTTCAAATTTATTAACCAATTTTAATTTTAGCAGATTTTTCTGTTTTTATTATAGAGAGTTTTGATGTTTATGCCACAGTTGATAATTACATTTTAGAATTTGGTTTGTATGAATTACGGTAAGAAGTCGTAACATGAAATCTCAAATTTCAATAGAAGATTATTCACAATCACCATCACAAACCCGGTTTAATAGATCCAAACCCAGTGGCCACGCAGACTTTGTAGGGGGGTACTTCGAGACGGGAGTGTGTCTTCTTGGGGAGGCAGATAGGTTGGATGTAGGGGGTGAATGTTACTGGCTTGGATAACCTAAATGATTGTTGTGGTGATAGATGCAATAATGGTAATGAGAGTAAAAACAAGCATTGCGATAGCCGATTGGTCAACCAGGTTGCTTCTGACTTGCGGTGGCTGGATTCAAATGCATTCAAATTTTTGCGAATCATGTGCTCAAGAGAAAAAATGGATTATTTTTCAAGTTTGAAGGTGCCGCTGCTTATTAAGAAAGTCCTCTCTGGTTACGAAGTTATGACTCTAACTCTGAAGATGTTATGACTCTAACAATGGAAGTGTCAAATTATGAAAAATGTGACAATCAACTTATCCTTCTCAAATCTGTCAACAAGCGTTTAAAACTGAAATTTCATCAAGTTGTTCCCACCACACACACAAACACGAACACACCACACACACACACACACGCACGCACGCACACACTCACACCACCATACGCACATACCACACACACAAACACACGCCTCAAAAGTGTGACGTCATATTGAAAGTTGTCTGGACTCCAGAGGGGGTGGACGATAATTTTGTCGACAGTGGAGAGGAAGAGGTTGGTCTCGGAGAAGTACCCATCTTTCTTGGTGGTACCCATTCTGACGGAGATTTGGGGGTCTTTGAAACTGGGAAGAAATTTTTCATTGTTTCTTTGTTTGTCTAGTCAATTGTCAATCATTTTTATTTATGTTTTATTTATTTCTGTTTTACTTCTGTTTTATTTATTTCTGACTTTATTTAAAGAATATTAATTTATTATTTTAAAATCAGGATTTTAAATATTTATTCATTCATCTAAAAGAAATAGCAGGCAAAAATGATTGCACGGCTTAGACACGGCAATAAATGTCTTTTTCTATCATAAATGCCATCATCCTATCCGTGGATTCTGACAATTTGTCACACTTAGAAAGCTGAAAACGTACGATTCACATATCTGGCAAATATCGTTAGTAACAAAGCCACCCCTAAACCCCTCTAAATTACCCCTAAACTATCCCTAAACCCTCCTAAACTACCCCTAAAGTCTCACTAACTCGACAGTCTCCATGCAGTGAGAGGCCGTGAGAAGCCACCGGTGGCCTATGAGAGACGCTCCACAGAACATACCAGGTGGATGGATCTGCACCTGAAATATATTTTATCAACTACAGTAATAATAATAATAATATATAATAATAAATTATAATAATAATATATAATAATAAATAATAAATAATAATAAAAATTTATAATAAAGCCTTCTTTTTTTCTCGACATTGGCGACCACCGACCTCCACAAAACCCCATCCGAACGTGTTTGAATATCTATATTGTTTTTTTTTTAAATTTGTGATTGTGATCTAGGTGTGATTGTGTGAATGCGTGTGTGGGTAGGTGAATGATTGTGTGTGATTGTGTGAGTGTGTGTGTGGGTAGGTGGGAAAGTGTGTGAATGCGTGTGTGAGTGTGGGCATGGATGTCAATCAATTATAATTAAAAATATTTTGTAATTATGCACATGCCAATGTAGGTAGCATTGTCACAGGTATCTTTTTACAATTTTTTCCTTCCATCATATGTAAATAAATAAATAGAAATAAAATTTTTTAATGGGTGTTAACGACTTTGATTATTGTTTTGAGCAATTTGTGGTTTGCTTGTTTTTATTCCATGATTGTGTATTCCATCTTCGCGAGAGATTTTTGAGAAGCTCGCCTAATGAGGTGCTATATAATCACTCACATAAGAATGCTAAGTGATACAAGCGCTATTGATACTGAAATACGGGTTGATACGGAAGAACCTATATAGATACATTTGAATCTATGTTGGAAGGAGACGATATTTTAAACACAATATGAAATGAATTCTACCGAATTGTTGGCTTTAACTATTTTAAAGGATGAAGAACAAGATATATATACAGATATATATATAGCAAACTACCATATCATATCGTGTCGTATCGTATCGTATCGTATCGTATCATATCATATCATATCATATCAAATCATATCATATATCATATCATATCATATCATAGATACATGTTACAGATACTACATGATAAGCAAGGAGGAATATTCGATACATTATATATTGTCTCAGGCACATTTTCGAACACCTAACATGTGGTTTATAAGACACTTCTCTCTCTCTCTCTCTCTCTCTCTCTTTCTATCTTTCTCTCTATCTCTCTCTCTTTCTCTATCTTTTTTTCTCTCTCTCCCCCCTCTCTCGTTTTGATGAACAGTTTTGCTGGGCCCCATACGTGCCGTTCTCCAATGTATCATGCTTCTTCTTCTGGTATATATTTTATTTTCCTTCTCATGAATACGATCGACTTTTTGCAGACGTGTGACTTCGGCTTACAAATGTGCCTGATTATTATTATTTATTATTATTATTATTGTTGTTATTATTATTATTGTTATTATTATCGTTAGAATCTTTTGTGGTGCTTGAAAAAATTCGCGACAATTTTTTCACAAGGAATTTTTACATTTGAAGCATATCTCCTCCCAGGTGTACGTTTTAGTTACTTAGTTAGACATTCTAGCCACAAAGGCCAGACCAAACCACACGACGCACATGCTTCTTTTGTGTGTACGCGCTCGGCTTATGGTTGTCTCTAAGACTCGAAACAGACAGCTATCAATCAAAATCGCGAAGCAGCGCAAGAAGCGGCGCTCCTGCCGACTCAGCTTTCACGCCGAACAAACTTTTACTTAGATGGTTAATAAACGAGTTAATTAATTTGTTAATAGGCTAATAAACGAATTGATTAACTAGTTAATAAGTCAATTAATTGTTAATAAACGAATTAATTAATAAGTTAATAGGCCAATTAATTGTTAATAAACAAATTGATTAACTAGTTAATAAGTCAATTAATTGTTAATAAACGAATTAATTAATAAGTTAATAGGCCAATTAATTGTTAATAAACAAATTGAATAACTAGTTAATAAGTCAATTAATTGTTAATAAACGAATTAAATAATTAGTTAATAGGCCAATTAATTGTTAACAAACGAATTGATTAACTAGTTAATAAGTTAATTAATTGTTAATAAACGAGTTAATTAATTAGTTAATAAGTCAATTAATTAGTTAATTGGACTGTAAATTAGACTGACCTGCCATGGCCAGCTGCCGAGTTCTGCCCAATCGCCATTTTCTATGTACTTGCTCACAGTGGGCACCAACCTCATCCCACACTCTGGCGAAGGATTTGTTTTCATTGTTGGTTTAGTTTTACAGATCTACAGGTTATAACTCGCAGATTTCATTAATTAATGATTTCATTATCGATAATTGATTAACTGAACGGTTGATACGTTTATTAATTGACCAATTAGTAGAATAATTGTGGGAATTTTAAAATCATTTGCACCGACCTGAAGCGGAACATTTCAAGAAGACAACGCGGTTCGTTGTGCAAGAGGTTCTAATGTTAGTGACGATGATAATGACGATGATGATGATGATGGTGGTGATGATGACGATAGTGAAGAAGAAGATGATGATATGACGATAATGATGAAAAAGATGATGATGATTGCCAAGATGATGATGATGAGTGATAAGAAGATGGTAGTGATAAAGATGACACCGAAGATGAATGCAAAAACAACAGAGCAGCATAAATTTTGAATTTATTTCTATCACATTTTTCATGTAACAAAAACTCCAATCCCATTTTTTATAATTGACGCCTAGAAAAAAATATAAAAAAATATTCCACACGCACACACACACACATACATACACACACACAAACACACACAAACACACACATTCAAACAAACACAAACAAACTAAAAAATAACACACATCTATCTATATGTAAAATAAAATAATCCAATCACGTATTCATCTGCCGCACACACACAATCACACACACACACACCAAGCACACACACACGCAATATATATATATATTTAATAAAGTTACCAACTTGGAAATGAAGTATGACGTCAGCAGGAAGTTGTTTGCATCTCTAACAGCGCCATCCTTCAGTGAGACGAATGAAGGTATGGAAGATGGAATGGCTTGGTACTGACTTTGTTCAGATGGACTGAATGTAAGGAAGAATGGAAACAAGACTAATGGATGAATGATTGAATGAATGAATGAATGAATAGATGAATGAGTGAGTGAGTGAATGAATGAATGAATGAATAAAACTTTAGATAGATGGATCATTGGATCGAAAAGTTTAAAAATAGAACACTGCGGGAAAAACCCACCCAAGCCCCAAATAGTCGCAGACAGCATCTCCCCACTCGTCACTCCATCCATCGGCGCAGATGAAATTTTCATCAACACTCCCAAATGTCATCGTCAATGGTGAAGAAGATGATGAGGAAGAAGATGATGAGGAAGAAGAAGATGATGAAGAAGATGAAGGTGGTGGGAGAGGATCGTCCAGAAAAACTGATTTTGGTATTTTTATAGATAACAAAACCACCGATTGAGTCATCTTGACATCAACATTATGACGTCACATCAACAACAGTATGACAACATCAAATTTGCCAGCAGTAACAAAAATTTACACATAAACAAGAAAACAGCGACATCATCATCATCATCACGACATCACCATCAGCATCATGACATCATCATCTCCGTGACGTCATCATCTCCGTGACGTCATCATCTCTATGACATCACCATTTCTGTGACATCATCAGTCACGTTATGGCAACATCCTTCTCATCGTGACGTCATCATCAGCAACATGATGACGTCACGTGACGTCAACTCACAGCAAGTAGTTTCATCCGATTCGTCGCCGCAGTCGATCACTCCATCACAACGTTTCGTCATCTCCAGGCAGCCCTTCCTATGGAAACACGAGAACTTGTTGCTGGGACACGTGACTGTGGTGGTGGTGGTTATGATGATGATAGTGGTGATGATGATGATGATGATGATGGTGATGATGATGATGGTAATGGTGATGATGGGGATGATGATGATGAGGATGGTGATGATGATGATGGTGATGATGGGGATGATGATAGGAATGATGACGTTGATATTTGTGATTGATATTGTCGATAATAATTATAGTGATAATAATAATATTATAATAATAATAATATAATAATAATAATAATAATAATGGAAGTAAAATTCATTAATAATTATTTCAAAATAATTATGACTAGAATAATAATTAACTAGAATAATAATTAATTAATTAATAAATAATAATAATGATAATAATAATAACATGATAATAATAATAATTTATTTTCCTAGCTCCACCCACCACAGTCCCTGTTTTCCTCATCGTCAGACAGGGGGCAGTCCCTCACCCCATCGCATTTCCACTCTAATGGTATGCAGCGTTCGTTTTTACATGGATACTGGTTGGCTGAGCAAGCTAGGTGGGCGGAGTTTATTCATCAAAGAATGGTCATGATTGGATAGTTATGAAAAGAGTGAATTTTTCTGAATAATTATGAAAGGGTAAATTTTATTGGTTAGTTTTAAGAAAGTGATTTTCATTGGTTGGTTATGAAAGGAAGAATCTCATTGGCTGGTTGAAAATGTATGAGTTTTATTGGGTGTTTATGGAAAGCTGGCTAATTATTAAACTGTTTAACTAATTTCAAAATTTGATTTTTAACTAATTTTAAAATTTGAATTAAAAATCACAACATAAATAATTTAAAAAATTAAAGAGCGAGAATAAAAGCAACACACAAGAACAGTTCAACTTCAGTTCGAATCAGCAAGTAATAACCAAAAATTAACAAGCACATACAAAAACACACACACACACATACATATACATACATACATACACACATAAACGTACACATACACACACGTACGCAACACACACACGTACACACACATACACATACACAAACATAACACACACACACACATACATACATACCCACATTCACGTACACACACACACACACACACACACGCAAAGACAACACTAACGACAATTGAATTCATCGGAACCATCTGGACAGTTTGGCACTTTGTTGCAGACCAAACTACTCAGCACGCAGACCCCGTCCTTACAAGAGCTGTAGTAACCGCCACAGTCTGCCAAATTTCATGGAAAAATCTTTTCAATCGTTATCAATTAATTTTTTGTGAAAATTTTTTTAATTTTTTGTAAAAAATTTCCTAAGAGGATCGGAATCAACACCGATAAAAAAAGAATCAATGACTATATTTAAACTGCATTTAACCAGTGGCGAATCTAGAAGGGGAAGAAGGTGGTACGGGTCCTCTCTTCTTAACAGTATTTGTATTAAGTCAGTAAAAGTCTCAATTTTATCCACAGAAAAAACACCATTTTATTGTATTAAGTCAGTAGAAATCTCATTTTCTCCACAGAGAAAGCACCATTTCGTTGTATTAAGTCAGTAGAAGTTTCAGTTTTCTCCACAGAGAAAACACCATTTCATATAAAAAAAAAATATGATCGCCAGTCAAATGTTGGCCACACTTCCACAAATCTTGCCCATCACGGTCAAAATTTGTAAGAAACTTCAAACATTTTCAACATTTGGCCCCCATCCTTGTCAAATTTGTCTAGATCCGCCACTGCATTTAACTCTTAACTGATAATCAAAAAGATAAAAATTTATATCTATTTATATTGTTACTAACTGTTTGCAGAGTTGTTGCTCGGTGTAAAATTTCTCGTTGCTATGAGCGTCTTCGTGGTTGGTGATTTTGTAGTTGTTGTTGTTGTTGTGGGCAGGGTTTTTAAGGTTGTTGTGGTTTTTGTGGTTGTAGCAGCGTTTGTACTTGTTGTGGTTGTAGTAGTAGCGATCGTTATAGCGGTGGTCGTAGAGAGTATTCTAGATGCTATTTTGGTTGCTGTGGCTGATGGAGATGATGCATTTTCCGACGACTGCATTGTTTTTGGTTTACTTGTAAGACTTTTAATGATTTTTAAGATGGATGTAGTTGTTGGTGGTCGTTGTGGTGGTGTGGTTGGTGGTGTGGTTCGTGTGGTTGGTGGTGTGGTTGGTTTGGTTGGTGTTGAACCCGCGTTGGTGTTTTTAGACACAGTTGCTGATACATTCGTGTTTACTGTTCCTGAGAAATTTTGAGGAATAAAGTTTGATTTAAGAAAAAAAAAAGTTTAAATAGGAAAAAGAAACCAACCTATTTTCCTACCATCCAATCAACCAACCAAACAACCAACTAACTAGCCAACTAACCAACCAAACAACCAACCATCCATCCAATCAACCAACTTACCAACAAACCAACCAGCCATCCAACCAAAAAACCAACCAACCATCTAACCAAAAAACCAACCAAACAAACAACCAACCAACCATCCAACCTACGAACCAGCCAACCAACCAAACAACCAACCAACCAGCCATCCAACCAAAAAACTAACCAACCAAACAACCAGCCAACCAACCAACCAACCTATCTTCCTACCATAGACAAATACTTCGCAGAGAGATATGGCATCCTGTCTAAAACCCCCAAATCTTCGTATTGTCAAGTATCTAGAGATAGTAAGAGGATATATGACAAATGATTGTATTATTTGTAACAACGATGATAAAATTGATTAAAATGATCCCGCTGGTGATAATGCTGATGGTGGTGATAAATGAACCAATGATAACATTGGTGATAACATAACGATAACTACCAAGAAGCGCAATTTACGATATAAAACCAACAACAACTAACGAATTTACAAAGAAGGACAACCATGAAACATCACCAAACAGTTTAAAAACTTAATAGCTGGAGAATAAAAGAATAAAACAATAATCAACTCCAGTCACGTAAATTGTTGAATATTCGCTTAAACTAGGCATAGCTGATTAGCAACCTAACTTTAGCATTGAATCAAGAGACAATTCTAAAAATGTTCACACGCAACTAGCATTCAACTGCAAGCCACAACAACATAATATCGAACGACCAAAACATTCGACAACTAATTGTTTCAACACAACTGACCAACAAATGAACCTATGCCAGAGAGCTGACGAGATTGAAACAAATTCAACCTAAATGGAACAAACAGCATCAAAAACGAAAAAAAATGAAACAAACAAATAAACAGACAGACAAACAAACTGACAAACAATCAAACAGACAAACAAACAAACAAGTAGGCAAACATAACAACCAAGAAACGGCTTACACACCTTCCTACAGCTCCAGGATTGCAGGTTATGTTTATTTCTGATCCTGTTGGGATTGGTCGACGTCTGTCGTAGGTCGCGCACAAAGAACTCCCTGCACTCCCCTCACTCCCCGCACTTTCACTAATGTTTCTCCCACTCCCTTTTCCATCATCAGTCGACAAGGTTATGTCGAACTGGTTTAGGAAATCGGATTCTAATAAATTAAATTATTTAAATTAATTGAAAAAATTGATTAAAATTTATTAAAAAATTAATTAAATTAATTGAAAAGTAAAATGGGAATGCAACGAGGACAAAAAGTTGAGAGGCAAAATAAGTTGTCGATGTGCGTATCAAAAAACTAGAAAAAAGTGGAAAAACTAAATATTGAAGATTAAAAAACTGCATACATCTGATCATTCGTTACAAAACAGAATATCAATGAATAAATATTGAAAATATAAAAAAGGCTTCATCCATCTTGATTATAATTTATTAATTATGGGTGATTATTTATTACAGAAACTGTGTTCAATCACTAAAGACTACATTTCATTTACATTTACAATTTACAAAAAAAATCACACACCACCACCAAAATCATCCCACCACAACAACTCACCATAGTACTCAAAATTGTTGACCAACCCCACGGTGTGCACCGCAGCAGTCTCTCCAAGATCAGCCCCCCACCAGCCAAACTCCAGGGACTCGGACCCGATGCCCGCCAAACTGCACGTCTTCCTATCCCGATCCACTGCTAGATCCGACTCCATTTCGTCATGTGTGCTACTTTGGGATGTTGAGATGGGACGAAGGATGTCTGTAGTTGAAATATTCGGAGTAGTAGCAGCGGTAACGACAACAGCCGCATCAACAGCATCATCAGCAGCAACAGTAGTAGTAGTAGTAGTAGTAGTAGTAGTAGTAGTAGTAGTAGTAGTAGTAGTACACCTAGTCACACACATACGCACGCACACACACACAGACACCAATTTCTACACAGCACATTCCCTGTTACGCCACGTGTTACTATACAGTCTAACACACACCAATCACACGCCAACAACACGATACATCGCAATAAATACTCACGCCACACACACAACACAACACACACACACAGAGTTTAACATACGACGACTGACCTTGACATTGAACTAATAAGATGAAAAGACACATAAAGTTGGAGGCTAAACTTGAATAGAAATTTGCCATTGTTTATTCTGAGTAATACTAAGAACCTTGATCGGTTAGTTAATGAGGAAATACTAGTTGGCGTTATAATTAAATAAATATTTTTAATATTATATTAAAATGAATTTCATGCAATTATGTACTTTAAATAAAATATTAATTACTAATTAATCAATAAATTAATTGCCCAATAATAAGAAGAGTGCAAGTAGTTATAAACTATGAAGTATGATTAAGTTAAAAGTTTACAAAAATTAACGTAGCACTGATTTGAATGACATCAAATTAAAATTTAAAAACACAAAATCCTTTAAATTAGTTTAAAATTTAACAAATATCATCATAAAAATTAAAAACAAATTTTTAATGAATTTAAAATATAGGATAATAATAACTATCGCAAAAATAAACTAGGGACAAAACCTCTCTAAGAAACGAAACTCATGTATATATTGAAAAACAAGTCGTACCAGCGCAACAAATAGCACGCCAACAGACACCGCGGGATATATTGAGGGCATCAAATTCAGTGAACTTGGTCGAATTTTTGTTGAATTTAAATTATGTTTATAATTATAATCATAATTAATAAAATAATATTAGTGTACTACTACTAATACTACTACTGCTGCTACTACTACTACTACTACTACTACTACTACTACTACTACTACTACTACTACCAATACTACCAATACTACCAATACTGTGAACACCTTTTACAATAATTCTTATTATTATTATTATTGGCAACTACAACTTCAAAGAATAAGAACGCTTAAGCTAACATTTTAGTAACGATCCCGATATTCGGAAAGTCAATTATGAAAAAAAAAATGATTGATTGACAGACAGGACAGGACGGCTCAGATGGTAAGAGTGCTGCCGAAGGCATGCCGCTGCGCGCTGACCGGGTTTAAATGCAATGAGAGTCTTGCACAAACACACGGACGCGCTTCTTTGATTGGTCGATGCTGACGTGTGGCGTTTAGTATTTGTTTGTTTGTTTGATTAATTAATTGATTGATTAATTGATTGATTGATTGATTGAATTAATGAGTGAACTGATTGATTGATTGGATTGGATAAATGATTGGTTGATTAATTGAGTGAGGAAATTAGATGAATGAGAAATTTTAAGCTACTGGATTTTATGTCTTGAATCCATAGAGATTTGTAAGGTTGTTATTTTTGGAGAAACATAAGAAAAATTAACTCGAAATAAAGAAGCGAATGTTTTCATTGACCAAATTTTATAAAAATGGATTAGCTAGAACTCAGCGAAAAAACAGATGAAATAAAATAACACTAATGACAAATCAGTAAAACAATCATTAAACGCAAATGCCATAATTAAATTATAAAATAAATGTTAATTAATTAAATATTATATTTAAATAACAATTATACCTGAAGAAGTATCTTTGAAATATTAGGTCAGAATAGACGAGTTAAGTACGCGCAGCGGGCTATCAAAATGTAATTAGTTACTGTCGCTACTGCTATTACCACAGCCGCTACTATTATTACTACAGCCGCTACTACAATTACCACACCTGCTGCTACTATCATTACAGCTGCTACTACAGTTACTACTGCCGCTACTGTAGTTAGGTATGTGTATGTATGTGCATGTGTATGTATGTGTATGTGTATGTGCATGTGTATGTGTAGTTACTACTGTCGCTACTGTAGTTACTACAGTCGCTACTGCCAGTAACTGTAGTGCTATGTGGGATCTGTTGAATTGGCGCTTTATAAATTTTTCATTAATAATAATAATAATGGGAACATCTTTTATTTTTTACTATAAAAAACATACAATGATATATATATATATATATATATATATATATATATATATATATATATATATATATATATATATATATAAGTTAATGTTAATTAAATAATGCGCAATGATAAAATCTGTAAAAATTGTATAAAATGGTATTAAAGGTTAAGACCATTTTGCTCATTGTGAAGTTAAGTGCAGAACGGTGAAATATATTTAATTGGCATCATAGCTTGTTCCTGTCACAGTAAATGTAAATAATAGTAATAATAATAATAATGATAATAATAATACTTGTGCATATACAGTACCAAGTACAAGAATAATGATGCAATGAAGGAGGAATTCTGTTAACTTTAACCACAGACGCAAGAGTGTTGTTTATTTATCAGTTTCAGATATTCGAGTTTCAAAGATTTTATTTATTTAAATATATGAAATTATTTTTGTCATTATATATTATATTAAAGGGGCGCTATTGTGTAATGGGTAAGGTGCTTGGCTCTGGTGTTGGTGTTACCGGGTTCTAATGCTGAGAAATTTCACAACCTGTCACGTGCAACGTGTGCATGAATCGTTGATTCGCGTGTTTATTAACTTTATTATTATTTTATTATTATTAATTTTTTTAAATTATTATTAATTTTTTTTAAATATTTATATTCATAATTACATATATTTAAACTAAATTGACCGGGTGAAAAAAACTAGAAAGTCGAGAAGTTGAGTTCTATGTACGTAGGGTATAAACATTTACTTCTACTCTGCTTTGTATTTGTTATATCGGTTGTAGAGTTGGGATGGGTTGCTTGCAAGTGACGACATTATTTCATACTTTCTGTTTTTTTCTGAATCAAATCAACTGACCGAACAATCCGTCAGTCATTTAACTAATCAATCAAACAATCCAAACTAATCAATCAAACAATCAACTAATCAACTAATGAACCTCGAATTATGTTATTTGAAATTATTTTGTCAATTTTAATGAAATAATTTACAAACCAGACAAGAGAGGTCCCTCTAGTTCCGAAGTTCCATAATTTCTGAATTAAAATACTATGATTCAAACTAACGAATGCTTTTCTAAAATCGAAAACAGCCAAATCAGTTGACGAACTCTTTTTGTATATATATATATATACTTATTTTGAGTTGCACGGTGGCCGAGCCCACAAGAATTAATTTTCTCTTTTTGGTCTCCGAATCATTCATGCTTTTTGTTTTGTTTGATTGAATAAAAGTGATTTGATTTGATTTGATATATATATATATATGTAAAATTTCATATAATTTATATATATACGGGTGTGTGTTTGTGTGGTGTATGTATGTGTTGGTGTGTGCATAAATGTGTGAGTGTGCATGTGTGTGTGTGTGTGTGTGTGTGTGTGTGTGTGTGTGTGTGTGTGTGTTTAGCTATTTTTTTTTATTTTTTTTTATGCAATGTAACGCCAATATGTACCATATGTGAATATGTTATTTCATCAATTGTTCCATATTTGCCATTTTGTTTTTTAGATTCATTCGTTTATTTAAACTATTTAGGTGATTCTGTTGTCATTGTTGATGGAGGGGCAACAATGAAACCTCATTTAATTAGTTAAACTGTATCTCTAATTTGTTACAGAAGTATCATGATATTACTTACTCCATCTATTAGAGATACAAATATTTCAAAATCACACCTACCCTGAATCCATCCTTTAAAGTAGAACCGGCTTTGATTAAAACCCGTCTGTATGTGGAGTTTTGAAGCTGCAAAATTATAACCACAAACATACACGCACACACAAACACACAAATACACACACACACAAACACACACACACACATGGATACAAAATTTTAATTACAAAAGGAAGAGCGAAAATAAAATAAGAATCGAATTAAGATCACAGAACGATAATGTAACCAACAGCAGAGTAGATAATAAATGTTAACAACAAAATCAACAACAACAGCAAGATCAAAAACACAAAATAACATACAAACTAACATAAAAACAAACAAACATACATACAAACAAATAAACATACAAACATACATACATACAAACAAACATACAAACAAACATACAAACAAACAACAACAAATAATGCCTGATGCAAATGCTGCGCAAATAAAATATTATTGATGTATCCCTTTTTTTTATTCCTGATATATAGATACAATGTATACATACGTGATGCATTAGTATATAAAATATACGTGTTTATTTATATGTATGCTATGCATGTATATGTGTGTATGCATGTTTGTGTGTGTGCGTATGTGTGTGCATATATATATATATATATATATATATATATATATATATATATATATATATCTGTGTGTATATGTGTGTGCGTGTCTGTGTGTATATCTTCCAAAACAAAACAACAATCCCCAATTACAGTCATGTATGTTTACCCGCAACTAACGTATTTGAATGATCGTCTCCAAGATGAATTATTTTATTTATTAATACATACATACAAAACAATTCTCTACATGCGATCACAAATCTCTGAATAAAGGTATGCTGCATAATGTATTTGAGATATGAGGTATATTAGGTATAATAATGTTGATGCTTTTTACAGAAAAAAAAGATGCTTTTGTACGTATCGCACACCAATGATACCTGGTATCAATAGTTATGGAAGAGGTATTGACCTTCTAACGTTCTTCATACATTGGAGGTATTATAAAAATCATCATAAACCATAAAACTGGGTATCCTGATCTATATGGTATCAACTAGTTTAAGAGTTAAACAAAATGTATGTAAAAGGATTATGTATATAAGATATTAAGGGTTATATATATATATATATAACCATATATATATATATATATATATATATATATATATATATATATATATATACTGTGGTTAGGTAAGAAGTAGGAGATTGCTAGCAGAAGTATGCGCTGAAATGATGAACCGGTAGTATAAACAATATTTTTAATAATAATGTTATAAATAGTAATAATATAAATATTAATAACATAAATAATAATAATATTAATAATAATATTATAAATTAGGATATTAATGATAATTTTATAAATAATATTAGCGCCAATGTTGCGAGCGATCAAAATTTTTCAAAGCAACGACATCCCTTTTGAAAAACACCTCGAAAAATTCCATCACCTTGTCTGAAGTATTAAGAAATTATATTGAAATAATATATCAATAATATTAATAATAATAATAATAATAATAATAATAATAATAATAATAATAATGATGTAAACTCTTTTATTATTCAGAGAAAACCAGTAAAATCAAAAATAACCAAAATAAAATATGTCAATAAAATGTTGAAATTAGTTAAATATAATTA